GGCAGTGCATTAAATTAAAAGATGGGATTCCATGCTGGACGCACGCTGCATAGCAACCATATCTGAATGCCTGGTTACAGACGGCCTATGCAGTAAACGTGGTCCGTGCTAAGAGATGTATATTGATACTAAATCACACATATAGTCACACTTCATTAAGAAGCTCTTAGGGACTCTAAGGATGTCACAGAAACATTAACGGCACACAGATTCTGTCAAGTAAAACATTCTAGCGTTCAGTTATTTACATCAATCGGACTAAAGCTTGCTGGAGATTTTTTTTTTTTTTTTACTAAAAAAGCAAAGAAATTAACACAAACAAACTTAATGCCAGAACCAGCCAGGAAGTGTCAAAGGAACATTGTTGTTATTGCCTCTTAACCATGTGAATTCAGTATACAAACACTGCACAAAGCATTCTCCTTGTTTATATCTCTGATTCATCCATCCATCCAGAAAACTGACTCATTGCCTTTATGCATCTCCAGTTACACATGAAGATTGTAAGACCAATTAAAAAATTCAGCATACTTTTATCTCATTTTGCACATTACCACAATAATGGAAAATACATATTTGCAGCATCTGTGTTAACCTACATAATGTTCATATTAAAAATAATATTTCTAGCAAATGGAAATTAAAAAGTTCACACATTTGATGTATGTCCACTCACCTCCAGTTTTTGCACAAACAGCATTGGAGATCCAACAATCACAGCCGCCATCCAAACCAGCCCTATTTGGACATGTGAGAGGTACAGAAGAATTGCTTTTGTGATGTATAATGATACTGTCATTTGCGTTCAGGCAATTCACTGTCAGAAACTCTACCATTGGGAAATGTCCAATGAAGAAAAGGCAGAATAAATCACTGGAGCAATTTCCACAATGTCGGTTTTTAGTGGAGTTTTAATTCCATAAAATTGTGTGAAACCATTGAAAATGATACTTGATCTGATATAGAACTGTTTCACGTAATATCCCACGTTCATTATGGATGGCAAAAACAATAGCTACTTAGTAAGAATTAAACAAAAATTGTGCTTGAGAGACTGTTATGTTACATTTAATGGCAGTGTATTAAAAAAAAAAAAATTAAGTAAACCAGGAACAGAATCCATATTCCTGGGTTTTCAATCATATGATGCTGTAATGATTCAATTTAACAGGCTGACTAAAATGATTTTGAATAGTACATTACATTTAAAACAGGGGTGGGCAATATTATCCGCAAAGGGCCGGTGTGTATGTAGGTTTTTGCTGCAACTCCCTAATTAGGTCACTAATTAGAGGACTGATTGGCTGAAGAGTCCTCACACCTGGGTTTGAAGAGCTGACCTACAGGTTATCCCAGAAACCTGCATACACACCGGCCCTTTGCGGATAAGATTGGCCACCCCTGATTTAAAAGATGAAGTGGAGCAGGCAAAGAGCCCTTATTTTGCAGGTTGCCACAGCTGCTGTCAATCTGCCCTTAGTAATTTGCCGGCAGTTGGAAAGATAGACAGACAGAAGACAGACAAACATAGATAGATAGATAGATAGATAGATAGATAGATAGATAGATAGATAGATAGATAGATATGGCTAAATATATAGATTCATTGTTGATCCTTTTGCTGTTAATCAAAGGTGACTAAATTAGATATCCAGTGTATCCTTGTACACACACAAGCGCTGTGGACAGCCAAGCCAGATGTCAAACACATGTGCCGCTAGTCTCACCTAGCACTTTGTAAGCTCTTTGTGGTGTGTACTGCCGCTTCATCTTCAACGGATGAACGATGCCCTGGTACCTCTCCACAGCAATACTGGTCATGGTGAGAATGCCAGTAACTATAGCCATTGTCTGGACGAAGGGGACAGATTTACATACCAGGACCCCTGGAAAAAAGCACGGCGCTGTGATCAACGTTACCAATGAGCAATTTCGGCACTAAGGCGGCATATAGGCTGCCTGCTATCGACTCTTAGTGAAGTTCAGCTGTTAAGGTAAATGTAACTTTAAACATCCCTTTTGAACACTGTTTACCGTATTGCATTTTCACAATATTTGAAAACGTTTCCTTAGATTCTGCTTTATGCGTCACCATGATACTTAATATAAAATATAACTGCGACATGTAATAAAAGAGCAACTGTAGCAGACGTCACGTGTCTGGCTATAATCAGTATAGAAATCAAACCGAATTTTAAAATTTATTGAATTATGTTTGGTGCTGATTGTGACATTAGACAGCAATGTCCTAGTAAATTTAACTACTGAAGAGGAAAAAAAACAATAGCCTATGCGTTTTTCCAGAAAAGTGCAAGTTATTCTCGAAACTTATTATCGGTAGTGTAACAGACGGTAAAATTGTTTATTCACCTTAAGTTATTAGACCAAATGAATCTTGCCGCAGCTTCCAGTAATGCTTTTAAAAACTAATACTCAATACAGTATAATTTTAAGGCGTGCATATGCGGCTAAATGAATGTGCATGAAACTTACCCCCAAGCCACTCGGAAGAGATGTACTGCAGCAAGGTGAAAGGGATGCAGAAGAACGTGATGAGCAGATCACTCACCGCCAGGGAGCAGATGAAGATGTTGGTGGCACTCTGCACTGCTCGCTTCCGCAAAACTATGTAAACCACCAGACTGTTTCCCACCAGTGCCAGGACGAAAATGATGGCATACATGATGACAAATGTCGTTTTTGCGCTTGACGGCAGCTCGGGAGTATAGACGAGCGGCAGCACGTTGTAAGTGTGAATGAAGTCTTGGCGTGTCAGGTTGTAGACTTGAAGCAGCTGCTTCAGTAGTTCTGGTGTGATTTTCATCGTTCCCATCGCGGTGCATGTTCCCATTGTTTTTTTCCCTTTCTAGAAATTCCCGTTAAACGTGGAAAAAGCGCATCACACTGACAGCCCCATAACACTATACGGCTGTGCGAGACGCCGTCCTGCAATCCTGTCATACTGTACATAAACGTCGTACACGTCATATCAGCCTTAGAAGGATAATGTTCCTGTGGAGGTTTCATGCCATATAAATAAAGAGGCGGAACTCAACTTGTCACCCAGTCATAGAATTTTCTGTCAACCAGTAGTGCTCATATTTTTCTGTCTTTAAGTGGGACCTATGCTGTGTTGTCACAGCTGTATTCAAGGAGCAACCTAATTTTCAGTATGAAGAGAAGGTCACGCGTCTCCACTTTTAAATGCAACTCTCTATTCCCTACAACAAAATTCAATGTAATGCGTTTCGATGCCTCTTTCAACAACTGATAGCTGATGGTTAAATAGCCAATGTAGTATTTTCTTTTCCGTGTAACTGGAATTGCTGCTTGATTCGATGTCCTGGCTCAGAATGACTTAGTGCTGTTTACTGTACATGTTTTTCTGCAATGACTGCAATCTTTAGCAAGAAAGTGTGAATCAAGCAAACTGTTTAAGGAAAAGCATTATTCCCAATTTGGATAACACAAACTAATGACGTTTATACTGGCTAAAGCAGATTTGAAATCAACTGTACTTGTGTCTACATTTGCACAACTGGACTGAAGCAGGGTGCAGTGCTTGGCAGCGGTACCTTGCTCAGGGTACCTCAGTGGTGCCTTGCTGGTCAGGGATTCAAACCTGCAATCTTTCAATTACAAGTGCGCTTCTGTAACCATCAAGCCACCACTTATTATTATAATTATATTATAATAATTATATATTATAATATAATTATTTAGAATTATATATTGCATATATAATGGTTTGTTATATATATATATATATATATATATATATATATATATATATATATATATATATATATATATATAAACAAACCTATATAAAAATGTTAACGTTGAGAGGACATCGTGAGGACGTCGGAAATAACGTCGTCTGTCCTGTACCTAGAATCCTACAAAATAACGTCCACATGACGTCAATAAAAAACGTTTTCACGATATTTGTCAACGTACAGAGGACGTTGAAAGGACGTCATAAAGACGTGGTGAGGACATCGGAATGTTTTCATGACATTTGTCGACATTCAGATGACGTTGAAAGGACATCATTTTGTTAGCTGGGTACCAACTGATCTCACGTTTGTTCACCATTAATGAACTGTCACATCTTTTATCTCAAGCAAGTATTATATTTGTTACTACAGTATATCTATTAATTAGGTAAACCTTTTTGAACTACTGAAGGAATCACCGAAGGGAGTACTATAGGAACTGAACAACACATGTTAATGTACTGATCTCATGTTTGTTCACCATTAATGAAATGTGACGCATCATTTATCCCAAGCAGTTACTATATATATTTATTACTAGGCTATATCTGTTAATTATCTGAATCTTAGTGAACTCTGAAGGAACGAGTAATGAATAACAAGCAAAATACTGATGATCTGTTTGTTCATTAATGAATCGTGACATCTTTCATCTTAAGTAGCGACTAATATACTTGTACATGATTTGCTCGTGATTCATACTTCATTAGTAACTGAGTTATTACTAAGTATTTGAGTTCCCTCAAGTACAGTGATCATTTAATGGGAGGCAACTGCACCAATTAAGTTTGAAAAATTGGAAGCTTTAAAGTTAGGTGACATATAGGATTGATTTTTAATTCATTCTTTTCTGAAAACATGAGCCATAACACCACTGCATCTGAGCCTGTTGAGAGTTTGGGGTGCTGTGTTCGTTTTGAGTAGTGGTAGCCATATTGTTATACAAAACTTTTTGTTTTCCTGTTGTAGATCCTGGGCACCAAATATCACCTGAGACACTCATCGCCCATAAACTGCGCTCAGGTTGGCGCCTCCAGAGCCTTATGGCCGCGCCTGAGAGACTGAAGAGAAGCTACCTGCCCCGGGCCATTTGCATCATTAGCAGCACCGATTAAAATAAGTTATAACTGCAACCTACACTTTACGTATTTTCTCAATTTTTTTATAACTTTTATCTTTACTGGTATATGTTTTTGTATGTTCCTTTATTTTTAATACCTGTTTCGTTAATTTGTTAGTTCATTTGTTTATCCTTATGTTTTTTTCATTGCACAGTCTGGAGCAATTTCATTTCACCGCTGTTGTACCACTACATTCATACGCGTGACAAATAACTTGAAATCTTTGCATGTCTTTCATCAGGACGTCATTTTGTAAGACGCTGGAGCCTCTAGAGGGCGGTATGGTGGCTTTGTGAGCAGCGCTGTGGCATCACATCGCCGCTGGGTTCAAATTCAGCCCCCTAATCTGCGTGTGTGAAGTTTGCGTGTTCTCTCCATGTTGTGTGGGTTTCCTTCGGACACTGTGGTTTCTTCCAACAGTCCAAAGACATGCAGTGAGGTGATTCATCATCTCTGAATTGCCCACATTGTGTGCATACTATACAATGGTCTGGAATCCTATTTGGGGAAAGTTCCTACCTTGTTGCTTGTGCTTTGTGGAATTGGCTCCAAGCTCATTGTGACCTTGTCCTTGTTAAATGGTAAGAAGATGAATGGATATATGTATTATAGGAAAAGGTATGGGATGCTATTATAGGTTTATAGTGATTTGGTCTCTCATCATGTTTTATTTCGGTTTGGCTTTGACAAACCTATTTGTATTAGGTAATTTTATTCTTAATAGGCCACTTTTATACTTTAATTTGTGTATTTATTTATATAACCCGTGATCGACCGGAAACCATGTCACTAGCAACACAACATCTGTCAGAACATCACAGCCAAATGGCTTTAGTCTTGTCACATACTTGAGGACGTAAAACACTAAGCTTGGTTTAAATTCAGCACAAATCCTGCATTAACAGGCGAAACTGTAACATGCCTTTATTATGAAGTTAGGAGCGACTGTGGGTTCAGTCACATGATGCAGTGCCACCATGTATTCGGTGTGCAGAATATTGGATGCTTACACACCTTTGGGTACAGTACTTAGGCCACAATTCTGTGCCCAGTGTAATAATAATATGCATACAACACAGGAAGAGCAAGGCTGGGATTTGACCCCAGCTGTAAAGGTGTGAAGTTACAGCGTTAAGGCACCACGCCTAAGAATGTTAATTATACTAATAGCAACAACGAAAAAAAACAAGAACTCCGATAATAATATCAATCATTATAATCATACCGTCAATGGCTGTATGACTGCCTAAGAACAAATAATCACAGTTATGATAAGCTGGGTCGCTGCCCCGGAGCACTGACTAGGATCCCCATTGAAAAAGATGCTTCCCCCTGCATGCAAAGAGCTGGTATCCTAGCAACTCTAAAAACATTGGATTTGAAGGATTACTGAAGGGTCTGGAGCTTATTGAAGCTTCAAGAATAAGGTAAGATTTCTGAGTACTAGCATTGGCCTAAATAGTTATTTTATCATTCGAACAAGAGTCCGACATCAGGTTTCAGTTCATTTTCTTAAATTAAAATAAGAAAAGTTATATCACTGAGAAAATATTTGCTTAATAAAAGTTTTGAGTACTGTGGTTGTATTCATATAGCATCCAGGGAAATCTGTAACACCAAGTAACCTCAATGCATTATTATCCTCTTCAGTATTGCTTTGCCATTTAATTGTAAATTGGAAAATTTTATTGTATAGATATAGGAAGACATAGCTGTAATTTTTATTCAGAGCTAAAGGCATTTGTAAGATTTTTAGCAATGTGCTTTCATTCTGCTGAGTTAAATTATTAAATATTGTACATATAACTTATTAAAGTGGGTTAATGTAAAACTTTTCAGAATTATGATTTAATAATTATATTTTACCCTTTTAATCAAATTATTGAAAGCCTTTTCAGTTGACACATGTTGACCAATATCTTAATGACATCTTTGAAGTGACCATGGAGGGAGCAGCCCAGCGCGGCATTGAAGGTCTCGGTCAGGCTGCTCGCTGTCAGGATGCGGGAGGGAGCGGGACGGCAGCAGGGGACTCGCCCTTCGAAAAAGCCATGCGCTTTCTGGCAGAGAGGGTCCGCGAGCCCCCCAGAGGCGCACATCGCTTCGGCTCTCTCAGTCACCATTCATTCTTCTCCAGACACAACCCCCACCCCCACAGAGTCACGCACATCCAAGGTGGGCACAGGGGGCGGGCTAGTCGAGGTGCAGCCATTGCTTCGGGTTCCATTGTTGTCTATCAGAAAATACTTATAGGCTGTCATTTTGATTGGGTCTTACAAAAAATATACTCTTTTTTCTGATCCTGTGGCCTGAATATAAGCTTATGTGCTTTAAATAAAGGCTTTTTTGAAACAAAATTTTATCTCTTAACAATTAGAAACCATAAAATTGAATGAACAGTATCAGACATAATATATACATACATATGTGCTATTATACATAGAGAAAACAGAGAAATTTGGATCATATTTAGAAACAGATAACGTGCAATAACGAACACATCAACAAACTACAGTGAAATTGAGTGAGATATTAAGCTTTAATCTTAAAAGAAACCAAAACTACTTAGATACCATAAACTTGAATTTGTGCGATTTAAACATTGTGATGTCATCCTGACATAGCGACCTGCAGTATTTTAGTATATCTAAGCCACTTTGTTGGGCTATGAATAATTCACTGGTCTCAGGATGTTAATCAAATCTTTACAATTCTTTGTAACTCATTAAGGCAGTTTCAAAAGGAAATAAAAAATTTAATAACAAATGTTAACTAGTTAACATTACATGTGCATATTATTATTATTATCATTATTATTATTATTATTGTTCTTATTGTTATGTTATTAGTTTGTTATAGACATCTTTTCAGCCTGGATAGACCCTGGTCAGCCAGCTGCATTCCCAGTATGCTCAGCTTTAACGGAAATGCAGCAAATTACAATGTTACATCCCTGCAATTGTATTTTCTTTAAATATACAATGATATATAATATATTTTTCGCTGTTTGCAAAATTGCGTGACTTCAGCTGGTAGATTTCACTGAAACTGACATGTGGCCACAGTGATCTGGTGATTTAATATTCAAGCAGAAAAGAATTTTATGGGGAGTTCTGTACAGACAGGAGTTTTCCATGCATCCTCCATTTTAAGGCAAGGCTGAATGGGCCACTTAAGAGGTCTTACTTTCATCTTTTACTCTTAAGCCACTTCAGTGTATCTTGGTCTAGTGAGCTGAAGCTTGACCCATTACCTTAGTGATATTTTTTTAAGAGTCACTCAAAGGGATTATCAAAAGACTTCAGATGGCTTCAGTATCATGCTGACTTCCTCCTTGGCAGTCAGCCTTGACAATTTTGTAATTTACTGGGTAACGGACATGAGTGTGTGTCACAACACAAATGACATAAGACCATTCGCTGATCAGCTATTACTGGGAATTTCTTATTCTTATTTACAAAGATCACTGGATCTCCAGTGTTTGTTATTCTTTTGGATGAATGAAAAATAGAAAATAAAAATCAGAGACCTCTTTAGCAGCATAGCTATTACTGCAAGTGAGATAAGAAACCAGGAACATACTTTCAGTGGCCTATTCCGGTGGATTGTGCGGATCGTATGGGTGATTGTTGTGAGTTGCTGTATTATAACGTCTTTTCATTCTTTTTCCAGGTTTGAATGGGACCCCTGTATGCATAGTTAATGATGACTTGTGGACTTCCACACCATCGCCCCTCTACCCACTGATTAAGAGTCAGATGCCCCTAACAGTCGGAAGAGCGACCCCTGACCCCTTCCTGCATCGCTGCCGAGACAGCTGGACCAATCACACGGCAGGTGAAATACCCACCCCTGAATGGTTCTACTTCGACTTTTACATTTGTTTTAATAAACACGTCTTTAAAGGGTAACGTAAATATTTTGCTTTTCCTGCTGTTATTTCGAGTGTTGACTGAAACCCTACCCTCGCAGTTCCCCTGTCGGAAGCATGGAGGGAGGAACTCAGAGAACTTGCAGCTAAAGTCAGCATGTCGACGACAGTTAAGAAAGAAAAAAAGTCTGTATGTATGAGCTAGCGAGCTCTGAGCAAAACACCGTCCCTTTTACTGCAGTCTTATACAGAGGTGGACATTTCCTGTCCAGAAAGTAAAAATCCTGACCAAGATTTTGTTTCAACCAACCAGTTGAGTACTCTGTGACTGTGAATCTTGATACTCAACTGGTTGGTTGAAATAAAATCTTGGTCTGGATTTTTACTTTCTGGGTCTGAAATGTCCACCTCAGGTTTTGTGCATTACAAGGCATGCAAATTACATGTCAGCATTGAAAAAAGATACTTTATAATTGTACATAATGTTACTAGTTGCAAAACTGACTATTTTATGTCAAAAACCCTTTTGCTACATACTCATTTCTTTATACAGGAAGCCTCCCCAAATTCAATAACATAATTATCTTGACTACGCTCAACTGCTAGATCAATCATAAAATTCATCACGTAATTACGTTGCATGAGGCAGGAGATTTTCCAATAAATATAGAAAACAGCTTCATTCATGAACAAGAATTTGAATGATATATGGTTGCACATCTGTGATGAAGTACATTTTGGCTTGTTTCTGTTCTAAATGAGTTATTTTAGCATGCCTGCAGTACGTAGGTATGGGAATACCCCGGTTGTTCATCCAGTGAGGGCAGAAAATGGCTCAACCATTGGGTGTGACTTTGCAACCCTACAGCAAGTTACAGAAGGGCCGTCAGGCAGGATGACACAATACTCGGCCAAGACCGGACGCATTATTCCAGCCTCGTCACGGGCCTGCAGCAGACACTCGACCCAGGCTTCATCGAGACACGGCCGGCACCAGGGACACCCCCCCTCACCCGCCCTGTATGACCAGGAGCTCAGGGTAACACCAAGCTTCATTTACAGCTTTAGATGAGCCTTTTATCATAAGATTATGGGGCTCAACTTTTGATACTTGGAAGCCGAATCACTGCAGCCCAAATCGCATATGTGGCTTTTAAAAATGGACTAGTTTCAAGAATACATATTTGTTTCAAATTAAATTGAATTTATAATAGACCAAAAGGATAGTTTGCTTACTTGTGGACGTCTCAGGCAGTCATAAAAAGATGGCTGTACAAGCCACAGTTTTTGTTAAATACTCCCAACACTAAACATTCAACCATCACAAAAGCACCAAAATCACATGTCGACTTGCTCTCACGTGATTGGCCATAGTGCCTTTTTCATAACATCGATTTCGCTAAGCCTCCTACATTAGCAGACATCCAGTAATCGCAGTCCCTGCAAGATCCTGGGAGGGAGATGCCGCAAGCGCACGTGTCAGAACATTGCGCAGCTTGGCTGCTCCGCAAAGTGTCATTCTTTGAAGCTCAACGCTGATCCCATGGGTCATTCATCAGATCGGGACAGCGTGTGAATGTATGATCTAGCGACTCTGTGGTTCTTTTCAGATCCTGGAGCTCCTGTGTCAGGTCCTCCAGACAGATTCCTTATCTCAGGTCCAGCAGTGGCTTCTGTATGCCCATCAGCGAGGTGAGAGGTCAGCTCGTAATGCTCGTAGGGGCAATGCAGCATCGGTAAACACACAGCTAACCTCCTGTACAGTCACTGTGGCGCTGAAAGATTGCCTTAGCTAGCTGAGTCATTTGGGATCCTGATAAAATGATTACATCCATTTTACATCTATATATAAATGTGTTATGGTGCCGCGTTGGCGCAGGCAGGAAGAGATGACGATCCACGGAGACAAAGGAGTTTATTAAACAAACTGAATACGCCGAGGAAAAGCACAAAATTAAGGGACCACTGGGAGACTGAACAAAATGGGAGAAATAACAACTTAACAAAAGAAACCACAAAGCAAGTTAACTGGGGAGCTGAGTAATGTCACCAGGACTGAGCAACAGAACAGAGCAACAAACACGTAGTAACTAAACATGATGACTAATGAACAGAGTGAGGACAGACCCTTACATACACAAAGAAACCAGGGCAAACAAAGGACAGGTGTAAATCATAATGAAATTCATCAATCTCTAAAGAAGAAGGAAAATGAGCAACACAAGAAACAATTAACAAGCACAACACTGAAAGGAGGAGACGCTAATGACGAACTGGAAATTACTACACTAGGATAATTTACATGGAACCAAAATACAAACAGGAGCAGAAGTGAACAGGATACAAGCAGACCAAATCTATAACCAGGAAACAAAACGGAAAATAACAAACACTGGGGAAAAAGAAAGCCAATAAATGCGAATAAACATGACCGGAGGGTTAACAGCCTCTGAGCTGCACATTCAACCCACTGAGCTATGCAGGAGTCCAGGGAGCAGGGAGAACATATTATGACGGCTGGGCTATAAGACAGGGAGGGGAGAAGTGGGATGACCAGCGACACCTGCTGGCCAAACAGAAAGAGACGCAAAGGGCAGACATAAACGCATATTCAGAGTAACTGACAGCAGCAGGTGAAAAACAACACACAGTTACTGTACTATGTACTATATGCATGACTGACCCAATGCATTAAACAATGACAATATTGTGTTTCATCAAAAGAGAAAGACTTTGTGATGGAGCTGATCCAGCAGGCCGTGGATGCCAGTGTGATCGACAGCCTTGCTAAGGGGGTAGCTGATCCCCTGCCAGCACTGTCCTCCTCCACAAGGCTTCCTGGAAGAAACCATGGGTAATGGAGGGTGGTCTGCAAAAGCATTAAGAAGAAGATGTGTATGTATGTGTTGTAGTGAAGGCTTAAATTAGGCCTACAAGAAGAACCGTGTAAGTAGATATACTACACCGTGCAAAAGTCTCAGGCAGTCAAAGAAAATGATGTTAAAATGATCTGCATGTTGGTGTAAAACTATGGTATTACGCCTGTAAAAGTGTGTTAGCTTAGCCATTTCAAAACCTCTGCTCAAATTAGCCCTGCTGATATTATCCGATACAGCCATGTATTTGATTGTATCACTAGTACACCTCATACGGCCAATCAATACCTTGTTGACTTTTGATGGCTGAGGTGCCCCTGAGGAGTGATCCTCATCTAGCCATCCAGCCTTTTCGGAGAACAGAAGAAATTCTTGTTAGTATTTATTGCGATACTCTTTATTGCCATATTTTCTAAGGTTAAATTACATTTTTTTTTCTAAGCAAAAATACACTTACTGCCCAGATAAATAGATTTTAAACATTTCCTTTGACTGCCAAAGACTTTTGCACAGTACTGTAGCTGTATAACCATAACAACATATAGCATGTTCAGTTCAGACACTGAAATTAATCTGGCATGAAAAAATGTGATAACATTATATACTTTCTTTCTTAGTTTTGACAAAGCTACAGATATAATCAAAGAAGAGGACAGGCCAGGTAATTAAGCAGCTGACTTCAAATCTGAAACCTGTTTCCATTATGAACAGGCTCAGAGGGGGATAAGCCGTCTTTCAGAGACTAGTACTGTAGTATATATTCTTTAGTCCCAGTAAAACTGCTTTAACAGGTAAAAGCTTGTTTTGACGTGACTTCAGGTCCGACCCAGTACTTCAGCCCCATTTCCCATGGTAGTGATGCATTTAAACACAGTTCTCACAAACTCTGACCTTGACGCAACAAATGGATAAGACAAATAAAGAAGAAACAGATAAGAGAGCTTTATGTATTTAGCAAAAACAATGGTTGTTACTGCAGTAGTGCATAGGGTATACATGCAGAATAGTGACAGTCAGAAAGTCTTTACTGACAGAAATTGACTCAAATAATGTACCAACAAAAATGTGCTTTATTTTGCGTTATATTGTACCATATATATGTACTGTATGTACTCTATAATATAGCAACATGGATAGCAATACATTGGATACAATAAGCATGTATATATGAGTAGAAAATGACTCAGGAGGAAGATGCCATAATGAAACAGTACAATAGTTTTGCCTTTTGAATAAAGAGACATTAAAAAAACATAAAAAGGACGTTGGCAACAAATGCTCTGAATTGGCATGAGTGTCTAGCTAAAAAAGGGCCCGGTCTATGTTTAATTTATGCTTTTTACCCTGTCTGAATAGCTACAATCTAAATCTAAAATGCAAAAAAAGGTCTGAAGTAACGTTTATCCCCCAGCTACCAGACCCTACTGTTTGAGACAGTTTCGAGACTTTAAGCAATGATATAAGCAATGACATGAGGAAGGCCTTATAGGGGTAACCATGACTGCAGAAGAGCGTGTGGTTAGTAACACAAGCACTTACAGCATGAGCCATAAGGCATTAGGTTCAGTTATGTAACTTCAGGTGTAAAACACTATGGCCCAGCTGAGGGTATTTGTTGCTGTGCATATTTGGACAGAAGGACGAACAGTAGTAGGTCTGTGTAGCGTGGCTGATACATAAAGAGCTAACTTTAAAGACTGAGCACAGAGGTTTCAGTCCGTGCTGTGCCAGGTTTGTAGCCTTCTGTGAGAAGGACCTAAAGTAGCAAATGGACAGCAAAGTCTAGGTAGTTTTGTATGTTGTGTGACCAAGGGTGTCGGTCGAGAGTTTGATATTGGGGGGACATAATTTAAGTGCAAAGGTGTATTTACTGGGGGGGGGGGATGAATGAGGTCAAATGATATATTGGGGGGCATACATCACCAGATTTTGGGCCCCATAGAGCTGCAAATGCGTGAGGCCAACATCCACGTAGAGAGCCGCCCAACCCTGCCCTTTGCGTCTCTTTCTGTTTGGCCAGCAGGTGTCGCTGGTCATCCCACTTCTCCCCTCCCTGTCTTATAGCCCAGCCGTCATAATATGTTCTCCCTGCTCCCTGGACTCCTGCATAGCTCAGTGGGTTGAATGTGCAGCTCAGAGGCTGTTAACCCTCCGGTCATGTTTATTCGCATTTATTGGCTTTCTTTTTCCCCAGTGTTTGTTATTTTCCGTTTTGTTTCCTGGTTATAGATGTTCACCTTAGATTCAGTGATTTTAAGTCCCGTCCATTTCTAGCCCCCATCTCACCGGCTCACATTCCCACTGGTCGCCATGTCTTCAGTGAGGATTCAGGGCCCATCGCGTTCCCTCAGGTTTCAGGCATAGCTCTGGGTGGAGATGTACTGCAGCTCAGTGTGGTTCGGCGTCGCGCTCGTGACCAAATGAGGAAGGCGTTCTGTTTTCTAACCTTGTACTCTTTTTTTTTTTGGTTTAGAATTGATTGGGATGGCGGAGGTGCTCCAGGTGAATTCAGAGGAAACTCTACAGTAACAGTATCATGAATATGTTTGCTAACGCGCATGTTTACCAGCCTCATTAGTGTCTGTTTATCATTTTTATCCAGGAATATAAATGAGCTTGAAAAGTGGGTCAGATTAGGATGCAATATTTCAGTGTGTTGTGGTTATTCTTCAAGAAACTATGAAAAGATGTAGGCAATGATTAAACAGTAATATATTATGTACTGATCGTCAAACAACTTTCCTTTAATACAATTTTAATTTCCCTGTTAATGGAATATTTAAAATGCATAAATTGTAACCCTTCCCTGAAAAGATGAATAAAAATGTAAATGAATAAATGTAAATGATAGATAATACAACACATGTATTATAGATTTGCTTTAGTTAAGCACATAAATATGCGGCACTTGGGGTTTCGTGTGTTTATACTCTGTTTATACTCACGCGGATATTATCTGGATTACCCCTAGTGTTTTCAAAGTAGATTATACATAGTCTGAAAAAATATCTCCTGAAAAGTGTTCAATAAACAGGATGATACTCATTAGAATCACTGTCAGAACTTATGGTGTACATCTTAAAGTTCTGCATTATCTCCTTATATGTGATTTTTCCGTGTCTATCTGACCCATCTGGAGCACTTTTCATTCTCCAGTTGACAAGAAACATTCAGAACATTTTGGTTTGGCCGTGATTTAACGAGAGCAGTGCGGAGTCAACACTCCTTTCACACTCAGTCACATAAAGGCATGGTAGCCATCTAAGTCACATGGGCCTCTTCCCCAGTCTGAGGTTGCTTGTCCCAAACTACAGTTTGCAGTTTGCATCATGGGAAAAATTGCTCAGATTATTGGTTAAACTGTGGTTGTGTCACACCCAACTCCGTCCGATCCTCGTGTGTGCCACACCCACCTTGTTACCTCGTGTTAACTCCTGATTGTACTCACCTGTTGCCTATTCCTTTTGCCTTGTCTTGAGTATTTAGTCCGTGTCTCAGTCAGTATTCCCCAGTTCTGTCATTGTACCTGTTAGTCGTCGTGCTTCCCCGGTCCTGCCTGTTTCCTCAATAAACCTTGTTTATCCGTCCATCCGACTGATCTGCCTGCTTTCCTGCTCGCCCGCTCCACCGACGTGACAGGTTGGAATAACAATCTCCTTATTTCTTTCGCCTGAGATTCGAGCCATCAGAGACTGTCCCGTGCTATGATTACTGCTCCTTTGTACCTCAGATGATTGATCAAAAGGATTCAGGGGCCGCAAAGTGCTTTAGGCTCTCAGCCTCAAAGATGGTTCCGCTTCAGACATTTCCTCTCTTAGATTCGGAATTCTTTTGTGTGCAGAGAGGCCTGTAATGTGTGCTTCTCAGATTGATTTGATTTAATGTCGGCTACCGCGAATATTTTCATACACTTAAATAGTTTAATGTCAGGCTAATGTCATTATCCTTGTAATGATGACATTCTGATTATACACACTATACGACACTTTATACAGCGAATTCAGCAGGTATTCAGGTGCATCCCATTTCTATCGGTCATTTCTGAAATGTTTCTGAACCTTTTTTTGGATGCCACCTATGTTTCATTTAATTGACTGGACAGGATTTGGAAAGGCACACGCCAGTCTTTATGAATGATACAAGATTGTGTTGAGACACAGATCTGAGGAAGACCGCAAATCTAAATTTTATTTTCCAGCATTAAAATAGTCCAGATGCACAGTGGGCTCCATAATTCTTAAATTGAAGAAGATTGGAGCCCAGCCAAAATGAGCAATTTGGTAAGAAAGGCCTTGGTAAGAGAGGTGACCAAGAACCTGGTGGTCACTCTGGCTGAGCTCCAGAGATGATGTGTGGAGGCGGGAGAAACTTCCAGAAGGACAACCAACACTGCAGCATGCCAGTGAACTGGGCTCAGCAGAAGTCTCTGCCTTTTATTGAGAAATCTTATTTCTTATAGTCTGAGATCTGCCTGAAGGTCTCTCAGACTAAAAGAAATAAGATTCTCTGGTCTAATGAAACCAAGATTGAACTGTTTGGCTTCTAAGCATCTCTGTTTGGTTCTAAGCATCATGTCTGAAGGAAATCAGGCACCTCTCATCAACTGTGTAATACCATCCCAGTGGTGAAGCATGGTAGTGAGAGAGTCATGCTGTGGGGGTGTTTTTCAGCAGCAGGGACTAGGAAACAAGTCAGGGTCGAGGGATAGTTGAACAGAACAAAGTACAGGGATATCCTTAATGAAACCCTGCTCCAGAATGCTCTGATCCTCAGATTGGACTGAAGATTCATCTTCCAACAGGACAACGACCCTAAGCACAAAGCAAAGACAATGCAGGAGTGACTTAATGATGACTCTGTGGATGTCCTTGTGTGGCCCAGCCAGAGTCCAGACTTGAACCCAACCGAACATCTATGTAGAGACCTGAAACTAACGGTCCACTGACAGTCCCCATCCAAAATGACAGATCTTTAGAGGATCTGCAGAGAATGGCAGAAAATCCCCAAATCCAGGTGTGCAAAGTTTGTCACATCATACCCAAGAAGGCTGTAATCACTGCCAAAGATGCTTCAAATAAGTACTGAGTGAAGGGTCTGAACAAATTCATTGTAGCATTTCAGTTTTTTGTTTATAATAAATTTGCCAATATTTCTAAAATCCAGTTTTTGCTTTGTCATTATGGAGGACTGAGTGTAGACTGACGATGTAAAAAAACAAAAAACAAATTTAAACTATTTTCGCATAAGGCTGCAACATAAAATTCGAAAAATGTGAAGGGTCTGAATACTTTCTGTATCATCTATATCTATCTTACTTTATTTTTCAGTATCAGGCAGAGAAATCAGTAAAACCAAAGCCCTGAATCTGTGAAACTGTAGAATACCTCTGCTTATCAGCACAAAAAAATATAGCATTCGCATACCTACAGTGTATTTACGTTATATAAATAATTACTGCCCTTTTATCATAGCCGGGATAGTGAGAGTGGCATGCAGGTGCCCTGGACGTGCATGAAAGCAAATGTATCCGTGTCTTCAATGAGAAGTTTGGTCAGCAGGTGAAGTTCAGCATTCACGTCACTGGCCCTCTGACAAGGACACCTGTTAGCTGGTTCTGATATCGGGCACAGTGTCCACTGGCAGCGGTTCAGCTTTGCCCATAGCTCATAGACAGCTGCTGAAAGCAGTGGGCCGGCACTCTGAGGAGGGGACTGTTTCATTAGCTTAGCCCCATCTAACATGCCTGGCAGATCAAGCACATGTAAGCGAGTAAACGATACTGTGGTAACTGAGCTTCATCAGAACCACTGTTATTCCCGGCTTTCTGAAATCAGATTCCCTGATCACTTCTCCAGTATTCCTTCCTTATACCCCTTTTACTAATTTTTAACAGGTTTTCTCCCTGACTCGTTTTAGCGGATAGATGCTGTTAGTGTATAAGTCATTAAATGGCTTAGGTCCAGAATATATAGTAGAGATGTTAGCTACATATAAACCCAATAGACCAGCATTTCCCAATCCGGTCTTAGGGGACCTGCAGACAGTCCTCATTTTTGCTCAGCAGCTGGGAGGGAGCGAAAATGCTGACTGTCCGGCAGGGAACTGGAAGGGAGCAAAAACATGAACCGTTTTGGGGTTCCTGAGGAATGGGTTGGGAAACATTGCAATAGACCTCTTAGACCCTTAGGGGCTGGATAGTTGCTTGTACCCAGAGTTAGATCGAAACAGAGTGAAACGGCCTTTAGCCACTATGCTACACAAAGATATACGTCCCACAGATGCTTGATCGGATTGAGATCTGGGGAATTTGGAGGCCAAGTCAACACCTTGAACTATTTTTCACGTTCCTCAAACCATCCCTGAACAATTTTTGCAGTGTGGCAGGGAGCATTATCCTGCTGAAAGAGGTCACTGTCATTGGAGATTACTGTTGCCTTGAAGAGGTGTACTTGGTCTGCAACAATGTTTTAGGTAAGTGTTACCTGTCAAAGTACCACAGGACCCAAGGTTTCCCAGTAGAATATTGCAGAGAGCATTTCACTGCCGCTGCCGGCTTGCTTTCTTCCCATAGTACATCCTGGTGCCATCTCTTCCTCAGGTAAACAAGGTAGCACCCAGTTGTTCACATGATGTAACAGAAAATGTGACTCATCAGACCTTCTTGCAGTGCTCCGTGGTCCAGTTTGGACACTCACGTGCCAATTGCAGGCACTTTCGGTGGTAGATAGGGGTCAGCATGGACACTTTGACCAATCTTTGGCTACACAGCCCCATACACGGCAATGCACTGTGTGATCTGACACCGTTCTAACATGGCCAGCATGATCTTTTTTAGCAATTTGTCCTACAGTGGCTCTCCTGTGAGATCTGACCGTATGGACTAACCTTCGCTCCCCACGCTCTAATTTTGGGTACCTTGCACAAAATGGCACAGAGGATAAACATGCTGTCAAACTGCTCAGTCTGTTTCTGGCCAAACTGCACCTCTAATACCCAGGCTTAAGTCACATGGCAACCGTGAGTAAATGAATGCAATAATCCTCAAGCAAAACAGCCCCATGACAGTAAGAGTCCCCAGTTGCTATGTCATTAGGTCCTTTTTGTTTCTTGTGTAACAGTCAGACATCAGGGACAAAATCATCCAGTTAAGTTTACTTGTTGCTACATGTCAAGGTATTATTGTGATTTGCTTAACAACAAGTTTTTCTTCATAGTTGACTTGTGTTGGGCTGGTATCCTGTCTAGGGTGTATCTTGTCTTATAATCAGATCACCACTCTCCTAACTGGAACATGGTCATGGATAAATTGACCAACTGAGCAACATAAACACAACTGAGATTAGCCCCTGAGATAATCATCAATATGTAGATATTTCACAAAAAACACAGAGTGAGAGAACAGAGTAATATGGTATTCTAATATGTTCTAATGTATTTTTATAAGGCTTTAATCAGTAAATACATTCTTCCATTCATGCACCTGCTACTTACTCTAGATTGAACAGCATCTGTTTTAGAGTACAAATTCTGCAAATAATGGAGAGTTATTAGTAATTGCATGGAAATTGTAAAAATAAAAAAGGATAAAAAAAATCATATCTCTCAGAAGTTTTAGTGGTACACTGTAGGATAGGAGGGATGCTTAACCACAAGCGAAAGATTACTATGGTAACTCTATAAATGCCATGTCTATAAGAATCTATGAATACATTCATAACACATTATAATGCATTCATAAAGCATTATAAACATGGCTATAAATATTTATAAAAAAGGCATAACATTATAGCCATGCTTATTATGCATTATCAATGTTTTATGAAGTTTTCATCTATATTGCACTACAAATGCCTTAATAATGCAGTACAAAGCACCCTTCATACTTATACCAACCATTATAATGTATTATGAAGATAGCTTTAAAAAAACTCAGAGTGTTACCATATTGGTCATCTAAGATAAAGCTGTGATCCACATTTAATCTTAACTATTTCAGTACAGGAGGTCTCAAAATATCTGGAGTCCAATATTACAATATGCTGTGTTTTTATGGGGATTAGTGTCTACAACATGCAATGAGAAGGAAAACTCCCGAAATACAAACATTAATACAAATCATTCTGCAAAGATTGCTTCCAAAAATATAACACATGGCCTTTCTCTCATATCTGCACTTTTTTTCTCTCTTGTATACATTTTAATATTGAGCATCTGAAGAAGTGTCCTTAATGAAGGTCATTTCTTGGGAGGGGGAGACTGAAGGTCAAAGTTCTGCATTCTTTGCATTTCACTCCAGCTGCCCATCACCCACTGACCAAGCTGCAAGAAATTTATTTTACAGCAACTGCCGAATGTTCAAGCCACAGAAAAAGACGGCAAAGTGAAAGGTGGAGAGTGCATGAAAGTAGGGCTTTTAACCCGTGGTTAAGTAAAAATATTTCATGACAAAATTGGCCAAGCAGGGGGGATCAGTCACATGGTTTTGATTAAATTGTGTTTTGGTCTGGAGTTGGTCTGATATACTGTAGGCAGTAGATTTACCTTTATGTGAGTGAAACTACACAGAACAGCATAAGGGGATGGTGAGAGGGGGGTGGTCATTTTTTTGGCATTCATATGTAACCCATGACAACTCAAACCCTACCTTTAACTAGCATTTGAAAAACACATGTATGGTTAAGGTATTTGAGTGATTACTTTGCTTGTTCATGCTCTCTTGCTGATGTCTTTATAATTCCGATCAGTGATATTCAAAGAGTTTGTCTCTTATTGATGTTGTTACATTACGGCTACATTTATTTTCCAAAAATTATGGTTTTCTGGTCTCCAGAACAGGGCTGTAGAAAGGTTCATACTTATTTGTGGGACAGTAATTCGCAGGCATTCATCCACTAATCGTTGCTGTATGCGGTCAGATCTAGGACAGAACTTCTGTAATTTAAAAGGGTTGCTATAGCTACCAATAGCACAAGCAATTGCGGCGTTTCTACAAAACCACAAAACCACTACTGCCATGTGGCACCACGCACCACAGAAAGAGTCCTTCGATGGCTTGTGCAATTCCTTGGATCTTGGGACTATGAACTAACCCTAGTTGAGTGTTTAGAGTTTCCATGCAGTGTCTCTCAATTTTGAGACAGTCAACATAATAATGCGGTAGGCCCTCCGTGTTGTTTTGAAGACACCGATCGCCTGGAGTTTCAAGAAATAAACGTAGCACAATTCATCTTTGAGATGAGCTGAAGTAGAATCATCAAGAGTCAGTCTCCTATCTCCTATAGTTAAGTCCTCTTATCAGTTTGAACTCTTTAATCTTCAGAGTTTCTTATTGTTTGGCTGTAGTAATACAGATTGGCAACAACAAGACAAGTTTTCTGTTAGCATTTTCAGTTATTATCATTAGGTACAGTTAGCTCAGTCCTGGTTACTGCGTAGATGGGATTCTTCCAGAATATTCTTCTGGCCTGGTCATTGGTCTGATAATTGAGACTCTCCATTCTAAGCTGTTTTTACTCATACAGTAATACAGGGCAGCATGCTGGTATCACACCTCCAGGGCTGCCGGTTCAAATCGAGCCTTCGCTCTATGTATGGAGTCTACATGTCCTCCCAGTGTCACATGGGTCTCCGCTCACAGTGCAGTTTGGCTAATCAGTCTCTCTGAATTGCCTGCTGAGTGTGAGTTCATGCCCTGCGTGGGCTGGCGCTCTGTGCCGCCTTGGATAATCTCCAAAGCACCCATTACTCTGACTTGACTGAGTGGTTAGAAGATGGATGGAAAACAAAACGCAGAAATACACCCCTTAGTCCATGCAGTTACGCGCCTTTGGTTGACTGGTAACAAAGTTCTTTGAGAATAAAGTACAGGATGCTAATTTAAGGGTAAGTACTATATATGCGTATAAGTAAATTGTACGTAAAGAGTACATAATGAAGGAGTTCACAAATAAAAATTACTATACGTAATAGATAGGTTAATAATTGGTTGTTAAATAAATGTGATGTAATCAATAAAGAGCAGTGAATGTAAGGCATACCTATAGACATTTCTAGATGTCATTAGTGAGCTGCGATATGAACAGCACACAAGCATAATTAAGCACAAGCAGATCCCTCTGGCTATTTCCCATAATCACTCATCCATCCATCCATCCATCTTCTACTGCTTTTCTAGGTCGGGTCGCGGGGGCAGCAGTCTAAGCAGGGAAACCCAGACTTCCCTCTCCCCAGCCACTTCCTCCAGCTCCTCTGGGGGAATCTTGAGGCGTTCCCATGCTAGCCGAGAGACATAGTCCCTCCAGCGTGTCCTGGGTCTTCCCCGGGGCCTCCTCCCAGTGGGACATGCCCGGAACACCTCACCAGGGAGGCGTCCAGGA